GAATAACGTTTACTGCATAGTGGTGAACACTACTTTTTCCAACTGTGCTCAACCCCACCTGAAATTCACATTTCAGGTTAAGCGAGGCAGGCACGATAGCGGAGTAGAGCGAGTGGTGGTCGGTATGTAAGACCGGTCATGCTATTTGTTATGCTTCCGCATTAATGAATTATTGATTATATGACTATGAACTTGGAGTATTTTGGAATTCTATGACTTGAATAATGTTGGAACCCGGTTTGGGTAATTTCTGGATTTTTGGAAAAACCGTTTGGGAGTTAGTATTATTGAATGATGATTGAGTTTGATAATTGATTGAATATTGGAAAGTTGGATAAGTATTGATGTTCGAAAATGAGTAGCGCCTTAATTGAGTATTTTGAAATAAATTTTGAAAAATTTATTATGATTTTCGGTGAATAAAAGTGGGGCGTTACAGTTTGGTATCAGAGCCAGTCTGCGTTTCTGTAGACTGGTATGTGTGAATAATGTGAACTCTGTGAAATACTGGCATACTATGATGTAGTATATGACCACTCGCTTCCGTCGTGCCGCGCCAACTCANAAAAAAAAAAAAAAAAAAAAAAAAAAAAAAAAAAATTGTATTTTGCGCCTTGAGTGATTTCCTAGCGACGGCGGGACTTACCAGGAACAGCTTGAACCCATGTTGAAAACAGTGAATCGTGGAATCGTGAAGGCGAAGCAGTCGTGTTTCCTTTCTTAAATTCTTGTCTCCTTGTACACTCTTGCAAACCTTTCTCCCATTCGCATGGCAACCAATTTTGAAGTGTGCTAGAGGCTTCTTTTTGTTATCCCATTTTTGTACTTTAAGGAGGATAGTCGAGTCCGGAGCAAGCACATCGCGTAGTGCAGACCCGTCCTTATTCTAAATTTTGTTCATCGTAAATTTTTTTGTTCTTTTCCTCCTTTCGAAATCCCGGGAGGAACTTCGCGTTCAAATTTCAAAGTGTGAAGATTGGGAAGTGAGTTGCGCTCGTTTAGTACTGCTGTCACAATTAGCTACCGAGGAAGAGCTGACATGTCGGCCGACGCTGATAGTCGGAAGAGCCAAGGCAAGCTATCTATCTAATGACTCTACAGAAGCCGCTGACTTAGGGAGAATCGTCACGAGAGTTCTTTTAAGATCTCGCATATCGTTAGATCTGTGTTTGTTGTTTTAGAAGGTTGGTGGACTTGGAACTCGAACTTGCACCTTGCTATTTTCGAGACTTTTTGAAACTTTTGAAATTGAGAAACGCCTGAAATATATGTTGTTTTGTTGACCTCAAAACTTTTAAAATTTGGTAAAACCATTCTTTTTTGGAATCCTTAAATTGTAATTTCTTGTGGAAACCTGGACCAACAGCCGACCCTAACGGGGTGTAGCCACGCGAAGTGGTGGCCGAGCACGCACGACCGTGCTGAGAGACAGGAGGCTTGGGCGCGGCCGACCGTTGACTCGCATGCGAACTGCAGCCGCCATCACCGTACGCACGAACTCCCCAGGCCAGCGTATACGGCCAACCATCGACGTTATTTCTGAACTGTTGAAACTGTTTCATGGTGGAATACTTAGTTATCCATTTGAACCCCTTTCGCTCGAACCTTGAACCGAGAGCTCCAAGTCCCACTAAATGTGTGTAAATCCTTAACCGATGATTTCTGATTAAGGAGAGTAGTCGATGAGTCCCTATGCTTCACTTGAGAGTTTCTCGAGTCGGCAAATCGGGAATGTCATGTTGCTTTGGGTAAAGCCTTATGTTTGTGCATAAGGGTTGCGATCGACTCGTGGAGTCGATATCATGAGAATGTGAGCTTGATAGTGTCATGTTTTATGTATGTGGTACCGTGTTGTGGTCTCGGATTGAAATGCACGGTCTGCGAAGGAATCGTGAGCAAGTTATCAGTGTAACTCGGATACGAGACTGAAATTTGGCGTCACGTGTCCACCTTGATAGTGAGTAGTCGGAGTACGCTGACAATACACCAAACGACCTGTTGAGGTCTTGTGTGCTGTTAGGTACGAATCAAGTCGTGGATGCTCATGAGTATAGGCTAAACTGAATTGGGTCACTTGCAAGAAGATGTACGCCTGAGCTCGGGCAGGACTGATCACCCTCCCAAGCAAGAAGGTAAACATATGAGCATAGGACGAGTCGGATTGGTTCCTGTATGTGAGTACATGCCTTTCGAGTATAAGGCCATAGGACTCATGGGAACGGAATCGAGTTCCGGAGAGTGATGCCCGGACCTCGTGATTGGAAATTCCCGTTTGAGTCTGTCGTTATCTGAGATGTGCGTTCTTTCGTATTTCCGAGGACGGAAATATTTTAAGGAGGATAGATTGTAATGCCCCATTTGAATTATGGAATTTTGAGGATTCATAATTATTATTGTTGTCGTTATTTTTTTTTTCTTTCCAAAACGACAGATAATATTATTGTTGTCATTATTATTATTATTATTATTATTATTATTATTATTATTATTATTATTATTATTATTATTATTATTTATTTGTTGTTCTTATTAATTGTGGAATAATTAATAAATGACTTGTATGATTTATTTGTCTAAATGTGATTAATGGCCAAATTGTAATTAATTGCCTAATTGTCTAAAGGTTAATAATTACTTAAAATGTGTATTTGTATTCTTACTAATATTATTATTATTTTCTTAAAATTTAAATTGTGTATTAACAATACATATTATATATTTGGTTTGTTTATTTAATTGTGCGAATTTATTTATCGAGCTCAAGAGCCGATACGTTTTATTGAACCGAACCCGCGAGCCCGATAATCCGGCCCTAATCCGAGCCCAACCTATTCGGCCCGTGAGTGTAGGTGTGTGTGTCTTATTGGTCAAGACAATAAACCTATATGTATAAGTATATATATACCTCTCTTTTTCTCCCGTACACAAGAATCAGAAAAACCCTTCCCGCAGCTTTTTGTTCTCTTTCCCCATCGTGTTCATCATCCTCATCGTCACCCATCCTCTCCATCATCGCCATTATCTTCATCTTGTCATCATCCTCACAGCATCTCTATCATCGCGCCATCTCCTCCGCGACTGCAACTCCGGCAAGCCCATCACCTTCTTCGTCGTGATCGATCATCCGCCGCAAGCCCGTCGTCTTCTTCGAACCAGTCGCCGTCATACCAGAAATCTCCGGCGAAGTTCAGCGACCACCCCATGACGAGAACCATCACCGACGACTCCCTCCGATCGCGACCAACGATGCCGCGACCAACCGAAGACGACGACCTCGCACGACCAGCCCTGCGCAGCAATCCGGCGATCCTCCCCCGTTCGCTGCGAGCTCCTTCCGGCGACGTTCAGCGGCTCACTCCCGGTGGTCACCGAGTGCAGCAACCCGACGACCCTGCTGCTCCTCCGAAGCTTGTCGTCGAGCCTCGAGCCGTCTTCGCGTGCCGTTCGATCGAGCCCGTCAACCTTACGTTTGTCCGTTTTCGTTCGATTCCCGAGAACGGTACAAAGGCCCGTCTCGTTTAAATCGTTTATGTTCTTTACATATATGTTTGATTTGCGAGATGTGATTATAAATGCGAGATATGCGTTCAATATGACATACGTGAAAATCGTGATAGTATGTGTTGTTTATGTGTTCAGGATTTCTTTGATTCTTAAAGAATCGAGCGAGACCTCAAAATGCGTGTAAGTCAGTGGATATTGGAACGATGTCGAGTCCTTGGTCTTACGAGATGGTCTCGGATGAGAAATTTCGTGTTATGAATTAATTGTTGAATTGTCGAACTTATATGTCGCTGTTTTGGTGTTTGAATTTTTAAGAATCGCACACTACTCTGAATGACTTGAAAATTTGAGGGACATGTTATCTGTTCATTGCAAGCTTTGTGTAAAAATTTCGTAATTTTAGAGGCCTGTAGTAATTTTTAATAATTAAAATGAATTCTGATCAGAATAGTGTTAATTGCTTAATAAATTCATTCGTGAACCAAATGAGCTGAATTTTTAGTATGTCATGTCTCTATGATATTTATATGTTGTGTAAAATATTTGGAAATTTGGACTAAGTTTGATATGGTTAATACTTTATTTATTGACTCTGCCGAAAGTTGTTTGAATTTTTATAAATCTTTTCCCGGCCGAAGTTAATTTTTTGGGACATTTGCGACATGATTGGTACCAGTAGTCACCAGTGAACGACTCAATGAGCACGCAGATCCAATAACTGCCAACATGTATGCGTTATCAGTATATTTACATTTGCAATATATATATATATATATATATATATTATAATTATAATTATGATANATATATATATATATATATATATATATTATAATTATAATTATGATATTAATATTAATGTGATACAATCTAATCTAATGTAATTGAATATGTAATTGAATAATTAGGTCATCTTATAATAATTTTTTTGTTTATTTACTTGACCACACATGTAAAGGTAGTTGATAGTCTTGACTGAAAATTCAAAGTAGTTTTTTGTTTCCACATTTTCAGTGATAACCAGCAGAGCATTGACTTCTCGTATTAAACTCGCAATTTCAGCACATCCTCCATAACTTCAACATGTTGTAAAAAAATGAAAAAAATAAAAAGACAGTACACAATAACCGATTAAAATAAAAATGACATTATTCATATATTGACATCAGTAATAAATAATAAATGATATATGACTTGTATAAACAACTCACGCTGCAACAATATCTTTTATTTCATCTGCAGACTGATCGACAATTAACTTTGTGATATCAGAGGTGTTTGAAACCTGTACTGGTGCTCAAATAGTAAAATAAAATAAAAAAAAAAATCAAACTTTTATTAAAATATTAAAAATTTTGAAATATAAAAGTAAATACAAACAAATTAGTAGTATTAAATTTACCTCCAACAACTTTGGCACGGGAAAACTGTAAAATAACCACAAAAGGTTCGATATCACGGTTTAGTATAGAGGGCATTATTTCATCAACCTTTTCTTACCACAATGTGCAAGATAGTTTGTTTCGACTGCAAAATATAAAACTAATAAATAAAAATAAAGTACAAAAATTAAAATAAATTACAATTTAAATGAAAAGCAACTTACAAAATACAAACATTGTATTGTTATTGTTATATCAAAACTTAAATGAAAACAACTGCAAAACATGAACATTTTATTGTTATAGATATATAAAAATTACTCGACATCCTCCAAAGTTATTTTGGCAAAATGTGTTGTTCTGTTGTCAAAAGTCCTTGTCTGCGATTTGTTTATACCGACGACTCGTCCAATAACATCTACAAATAGTACAACAAATATTAAAACATGTATTAAAACAAGAATTAAAGATTTATTAAAGTACGAATGAATAAAAATTGTATTGATGAGCATAGGGTCGAAAAAGGTTCCTTTAGCCAACTCAAAAAAGCTCGTGAAACTGTAGAGGAATTTTGGAAACCTATCTTCGGAGACTCTCACCACCCGAGTGCGGCCATAAAAAGCAATTTGTATCTTCCTATTGTTGTCTTATACCTACCACTGTTTGGAGCTACAATGACGTCCTTGATTGCAATAACACTTCCTTCCTTCAGATGGCGCCTAAAAGGTTCCATATGAAACTTCTTGATAGAAGCATGAATACGGTACTCCTGAAATTAACAAAAAAAAAAAGACAATTATAAAACAATCAATTATAAGGGAAAGTATTATATTCAATGTGAATATTGAAATCAATTTATCTCTGAATCATGAAGTATTACTTCAAGACCCAAAACTGTAGAGCGATCCCCAAATGTTGTACGCTCGTAGCATCTTACAGCACGATCCTTGATGATCCATTCAGTTTTGTCCATGTCCACATTCTTAAGGAGAGTGAATGTCATGATTTTTTGTTTGTTTGTTTGTTTGTTTGTTTGTTTTTTTTGCTTGCTTTCGTGTGTGTTTTGCAGTGAAGTTACGATGATTCTGGGATAGATGTATTTATTTCTAGCGATTGAATAATACTCAATACTTAATCCCACTACAATATTAAAACATGACTTCTTACCTGCCCAACACGATAGAGAGTGCTGAGTACTCCTTAACTCCACGATATAGTGCGAGTACTTCTTAACTGCTGAACACGTTAGAGACTGTAATCCAATTCAACCAACTGAAATACATGTGTTCATTTTGTTGGGTTCGCTAACATTTATGATTTATTATTTTATTGTTTATTGTTTATTAGTATTTCTTTATATATTTTTAAATTAAACTAAAAATGCGGTAGTTACGTAGGAACGACGTAGGTGAATCTTCTTAATATCTGAACACGATATATACTATTAGTATTACTATTACTATATTATTATTATTATTATTAAATATTTTAGTTTAGATTACTTATCTAATTTTTATAATTTATACTCTATAAATTAAAATAATAATAAGTATTCGTAGCTTCTTGCCTGAATTTCATAAAAAAAAAATTATTTTAAATTTTGTGCATAAAATCTAATAGTAGTGAAATTAGATATAAAATATTTTAAAAATATGTAGTTGCACAAATGATAAGAATGGACATAAATAAAAATACAACATGTTATTATGTAATTATAAATTACTATTTAAAAATATAATAAGTCGACATGATTATGCAATCTAAAATCAACATTTAGAGCATCTCCAATGCAACTTTTGACATTATAAAAAGTCATACATATTATCAATTTTTGAAAGTGTGTCTCTATTTTTTTCTCCAATGCATCTTGTCGTGAACTCTTTCATGATGAGGTGGATGTCATTTAATGTTGACAATGTTGAGCTCACTTTCTAATATCTAACACCATGTTAAACATGATGACTCATCAATTTACTTTATATTTGTTTTAATTTTTTATTTTTTTTGTATCAATGAATTATTTAATTAGTCCACCTATACAAATAACTTCTTATCAAATTGATGCATTGGAGGTACTAGTTTCATTGAAATTTTTAGTCTTTTAACATTATTCCAATATAGATTAACATTACAATCACTAATTGACATGTGTTAAAAATAATGATCTTTCACACTTATAGCATTGGAGATGCTCTTATGTTGTACAAATTGATGCAATTGCAACTGTGACCATTTCCTTTTCTTTTGGATCAATGTTCTAAAGTGCAAACTACAAAATCTCAAAGTGTTTTATCTCATTCCTCCTTTGAAGAGATGGATCGAGTTATCTAAAAAACCTTTTAGACCCTTTAACCAAACATGTGGGCTCCCTGAAATAAACTTAGAATTATAAAAAAGTACTAGTAAACAAATAAAAATGATAACAAACAAAAGATAATTAGATATTTCCAGTTTCCAGGTTATTTGAACCCCAAAGGGGGCGATTGGATATAAATTGAATAGTAAAAAATCCAATCAAAACTCAAATTTAACTCAACTTTAACTCAATCCCACTATCTTCAATATTACCAATATAATTAAATAATATCAACCAATCATTCTTACACATCAAATCAACTTTAATTCACTATTCATCCACTCACATAATTTTAACTAACCATCACTTCCAATCATTTTTCTCCTACTTTACATCAAATCAACTTTAATTATTTTATTTAAATATTATTTTAATATATCCACTAACAACTAACCATACCACTTTTTTTCCAAAATTAACTATAGTTAAAAACAAACCAAATAAAAACTAGTTGAATCCATAAACAATCACCCCTAGTCGTCCAAGTAATGCGAGCAAAAGATTTTCGGGGATGATTACGAAATCCACTTTTGAGGCTTCTCGTAATAGAAAAAATCACAATTTCCTTTTTCAAAATTATTATTTTACCCTTGTAAGAATTATGGGTTCATAACACCTGGTCAATATAAACCTCTTGAAGGTACATTTTTTGGTGGAATTAAGAGAAACCAATACCGAGGGGCGAGGGCTATGCAACAATTGGAAGATGACTAGTTTGCCGTTAGGCTAAATCAAATGATAATTTTTGCGACATTAATCCCTTAATCGGTATCTCATCTGGTAATTGTTCCTTCTGTCTTTAAATCCACTCCTGTACCTTATCTAAATTGATTGTAGGAGTGCTTTTACGAGAACAATTTCCGACTTCTTATAGAGAATCACAAGTGGAGATAAAAGAGTTACTCCATTTAGGTTGACTAGAAGGTCATCTAATCGGGTCGGAATTGGTCCACATCACCAACAATTGCAAATATTAGTGAGAGCAAAATAAACAACAATGGAGATGGAGTTGGTGAGTTGTAAGGTTCAATTGAATAAACAACAAATCCAAAACAAAAGTAATTATACTAATGTCTTTAACTAGTCGTTGGACAAACCAAGAATCAAAGAAAAGTACAAAGATACTTGGTAGGTACTTAAGCGTAACTCTTTTTTCTTTCTTACACCTTATTCCCGATGAGGCTAAGACAATCAGCACATATCACAATAGATAATTATGGCCGAACTCAATCAAAAACACTTGCATATCTACTATTACTAGTGTGTGGCCCGTGTGATGAACGGGAAAACAATATTACGATTGTATTATAAATTTAATATATAAATAATATTAATCATGATTTATTCATTATTTTTAAATTAAACCGGGTTGGACACAATCTGACCGGATGGACCGAGAACTGGTTTATAACCAGTCTAGTTCGCTTGAATAAAATATTTGCTCTCAAATACGTCAACACCAGTCGGTTGGACTGGTAGGATCGATACGATTTTCTAAATAAGTTTTGTTATATTTAAAATTATTTTAAATAAAATTACATATTTAAATAAAATAGAGATTTATAAATTATTTATCAATTAGTTTAACATTTTAATTTATAAATTGTTTAGACATTTAAGTAACACATTTTATTTAAATTTAGTACAAAAAGTACTATATATATACATATATAATAAAATGTTTACAAATTAAAATCTGAATAAACCACAAATGATTTAATAAAATATCTTGATCGTTTCGATGACGGTCCAGTTTTGAAAACCTTATATTTAATGTACATTAATAAATATTATAATAAAATTTTAATTCACATAAATATTAATAAAATGATATATAAATATTCATATATCATTAAGCATGTTGTCATAAAAGTATTGTTAATACAACTATTTGAAGTTTGAACTACATTACATTTACGTAATAAAATATTTTCAATATAAAATTTATATTTAGGTTCAATAATCGATTTTGTGTGGTCGAACTGATACATAACTTAGTCACCTGGGACCAACCAAGTTGCATTAATTTATTTGACTATTTTAAATATCACCTAAAAGTAATTCAATTAACCTGGGCAGTACCCTAATTCAATCACGCCATTGATCTGAAGAAATTTTCTTATTTTCTTTAAATATATTTAATTTTATGAAATAAAAATATTTTATGATTCATATAATAAATGTCTACGCAAATGATGGTATATTAAGATTATAAATTATATACCTAAAGATGAATTAATTATTTGTACTTTATGCATATTAATAAAAAATAAACATAGTAATTTTCAAAAAAATAAGATTAATTGATTGATTATGCAATTTAAATAATATTTTTAGCGTTCAATATTTTTTTAAAGGGACAAATATAAAGACCGAGATTCTAAAACTTTTGTTATATTTTGAATTGAGATTTTATAAATATAGAGACCGAGATTTTAATGTTTTTTGTTGTTTCTAAGAAAAAAAATAAAAATAAAATCAAAAATGGTATTGATATGGGATTGTATTATGAGAAATTTAACAAAAATACAAATTTTTAGGACACGATTTGATTTGAATTTTTTAAATTAAATTCCACTTTTTTAGGCCGTTTAAGTCAAATGATGATAAGGATTAATGTTAAAAAAGAAAAAAAAGAAAAAAATCTAAAAATAGTAAGCAATTAATGTTATCCTAAAATTTCTAATTACTATTTATAGTAAATAGTAATTCTTATTAGATATATATAGATGATATTTTTATTAGCAGAAAGTACACAAACTACTCAAAATATTTGTAAAGATACGATATACACATAATTATATTTATCTTTTTTAAAGAGATTTAGTGAAGTAGATAGAGTTTGTTTGGGTAACATCCGAATTTAATGGGAGTAAAATATCTTTTATAACTTCCCATCACATTTTTTTTTCTCTGACAGAAAAACTGCACCCTCAATTCAATTATCATTGACGCCATCTTTTTGAATCTGAAACTTTTCTTTTTCTCCATAATCTTTCTTTTTTTTTTTTCCTGAAACGCATAAATTTTATACCATCCAAACTCAAACATCTACAAATCTAAAGCCAACTAAGGTCTGAAAACAAATATACAAACATAAAAAATATCCTGCAAACTAGTTATATCATACATCACACTAGAAATAGATGAGTTTGGGATGCACTTTGAGTTCAACTTTTGCTCTGCTCCCCTATTTTTCATGCAACATTCAACCTTCTTCCATCCAACTTTGTGAGCTTCCATGAGAGCCCACCTAACCGCCAATATGTAAACTTCCTCAAGGTTTGCTGCCCACTCCCATCTATTCTGCCAAGTCTGCATTTCTTTGTCCTCCATCACATCATCACATCTAAATTTAGCTTCTCCATTAGAAGAGATTGAGGCACTGACCTGTAAAGACACAAGTCCTACCTCCTTTGAAAATTGCCCTTCTAAAGGTTCCAGCTCTTTGACTTGATGATCCTCAGCTCCCAGCTCCAAGTGTTCCACCTCCTATAGTTCTAACCAGTCCTTCCTTGTTTTTGATACTATCTCCACTTCATTAAATGCACCCCCTCTGAAGAGTAAGCTATTTCTAGTTTTCCAGATCCTCCATAATAAGCAAACTGAAATTTATATTCTATCTTGGAGTCTCTTTCCTATGTGCTTTCCACAAACCTCCTCCCACCAATCTGTCAAGCTTCTTTGCCTATTATGCAGGATATCCCACTCCATACCCAGTAGCTTCCAACACCTCTGTACTCTGTCACATTTTAAGAACAAATGGTCCACATCTTCATTACCCTCACCACACAGGGCACACACTTCATCCATCTCCAATCCTCTGTTCCTCAGCTGCACTTTAGTGCTTAGGTACCCATGGTAGAGCCTCCACATAAAATTTTTCATCTTAGGTTGCACTGGGAGTTTCCATGTCCTAAGCCACATCCTCCTCTGCTCCTCACCACCTGAACTGATACTGGCCTTTGTACTAAGATCTGTTAAATGCTTCAGTATATCATCATAAGCAGATTTAACTGTAAAATTACCCTTGGGAGTAAAATGCCAGACAAGTCTATCCTTATTTCTTAACTGACTGAATTGGGTCTTAAGGATGACAGCAGATTCATTAGGTTTAAAAGTTTGGTCTATTAAGGCTCTATCACATCTCTTCTCACCAACTAATATAAGATCACTCACTTTCACCAGCCTATCTCTATCCCTCTCAAAAGAGCAAGTGGGTGTGAAAGATGGAATATTAGGGATCCAAGGGGAGTCCCATATATGTATATTGCTCCCATCACCCACCTGATATCTCAAACCGCTCCAACACCTCTCTCACTCCCAACAGACTTTTCCAAACCCAGGAACCTTCATCTCTCTTCCTAACCTCCAGAATACTACCCTTGGGAAAATACTTGCCTTTAATGATCTTACTAAAGAACATGTTAGGTTGGGTGGAAATTCTCCATAGCTGCTTCACAAGGAGAGAATCATTAAAGGCCACTAAATTCCTAACACCCAAACCCCCCTCAGCCTTAGGCCTGGCCATCTTATCCCAAGAGGATCAGTGAATTTTATCCCCCCTCTCTCATTTGCCCCACCAGAACTTAGTCACAATTTTACAATATCTTTACACACAGATATAGAGATCTTAAAACACCCCGTGACATACACAGGAATTGCATTCAAAAAAGTTCTGATTAATACCTCTCTACCTACCTCACTCAAAAAAGTATTTTTCCAATTATTTTTTTTTCCACACACTCATGAACAAATCTAAAAACCTCGTTACCAGAATTGACTGTTGTGATACCATGAAGGATCTGGAACACATCAAGAACAGAAGAAAGATCAGTATTTTTAGAAAAGAACACGGAGGACTTATTGAGATTGACTTGTTGGCTAGAAGCAAGGCTATAATCATGAAGAATCTGCATAATGATTTGGGCTTGACTCACTGAGGCTCTGGTGAATAGGATGGCATCATCTGCAAAGAACAGATGTGTCAGAGTAAAACAATTCTTACTCAATTGCAGACCACTCAGTGAGCCCTTAATTCTAGCTTGCTTAAGTTGGTTGGAAAGAGCTTCAGTGAGCAAAATAAAAATGTAGGGAGATAAGGGGTCTCCCTGCCTTAAGCCTCTAGAAGGTGACACAGAACCCAGAATTTGCCCATTAATATTGAAAGAAAAAGTTGAAGAGAAGACACAAGACATCACCCAAGACACAAACTTCCTATGAAAACCCATTTTCAAACAAACAGCAGCCAAAAATTTCCACTCTACCCTATCATAGGCTTTTACCATATTTAGCTTAATGGCCATCCACTTATTCTTTCCTTTCTTTTTACTATTTAAGAAGTGGATACACTCATTGCAATCAACACATTATCCAAGATTTGCGTACCCGGCACAAAAGCAGATTGGGAAGTAGATATGCAAGAGTTCAAAACAAGCTTAATCCTATGGGCTAACATTTTAGCTATAACCTTATAAGTAATTGTACACAAGCTTATTGGTCTAAAATCAGACAGATGGGCAGCATTATTTGATTTTGGGATAAGAGTGATAATAGTGTGGTTAGTGGCTTTAGGAAGGGTACCAAAAACCAAAAAAAAAAAAAAAAAAAATTGGACATCAGAGATCAGGTGGTGCTTGACAGTAGGCCAGGAGCTTTAGAAAAATGCAGGAGACATGCCATCTACTCCAGGGGCTTTATTAGGATCCATCCCCATCACTGCATCTTTTATCTCTTCTTCTTCAACATGTTTAGTTAACTGAAGATTCATAGCCTCTGTGATAGAATGAGGAATCCCCTGCATATCATAGTTCTCCACATCAGGATTAGAGGTAGTAAAAAGATTATGAAAATGTTGCTCAATCTCATCAATGGTATTCTCAATTCTGTCACAGGTTCTGCCATCAGCTCTAACTAAATTATCCAGCCTATTTATCAGTCTCCTATGTTTGACTGAAGCCTAGAAGAATTTAGTATTCCTATCCCCAGATTTTAACCATGCCACCCTAGACTTATGATGCCAAAACTCTTCTTCATCCTTGTAGGCTTTATTCAGCAAGGTTTTTAAGTTTACCCAAGCCTCCCAATCTCTGAACCCTCCCTGAGTAGCAAGGAGGCTCAGTTTCTCTTTGCACTCCTCTATCACCTTGGCAGAATTGATTTTATGCTCACCTTTCCATTTCAGCAGGGCAACTCTCACATTACCTATCCTTTTCTGCAGCCCAAAAAACCCCAACCCCTCCACAGGGGAATTCCAAGCAGTTTCCACCACTTGGTTAAACCCCACTTCCTTAACCCACCTAGAATCAAAAGTAAACCTCCTCTTCCCCTTTGTCCTCACAGGGTTTTGGTCAAGAATGATAAGGCTGTGATCAGAAGAGGAGAGAGAAACATGAGTAACAAGGGCATTAGGAGACTGGATAGCCCAATTAGCAGACAGGAAAAAGACTTTCCAACTTTTCCTCTACTCATTTCCTATGGTTGGACCATGTGAAAGGATGACCCTGGACAGAAGGATCCACACCACCCAGATCCTTAACAAAACTACTAAAGCTAGCAAAACTACCCAGTTCCCTTCTAATTCCCCCATTCTTCTCACAGTTAGACAAAATGTCATTGAAGTCTCCTCCAACAACCCATAAGTCTCCCCACTGAGTCTTGTGATCAATAAGAAAGTCCCATTGCAGTTGTGTAATGTGGCTATCAGTACTAGCATACAAAAAAGACAGCCCATTGGGTGACTTTGCAGCCTTTGAGCTTAAATTTAACTTCAAAGCAAAAGTCACACCACAAAAATTTCAAAATATCTATATTACTAGACCAATACAAAAATAACCCACTCCTAGTACCCACAGGATCAAAACAAACCCATCTATTATCAAGCTTCAGCTTCTTACTTACAGTTTGGACAAAACTAAGCTTTTTTTTTTGTTTCAGAAAGAAAAAGAAAATTAGGGAGGTAAGATCTAATGATCTCTCGAATTTGGGAAATTGTAGAGGGTCCTCCCAACCCTCTAAAATTTCACACACATACTCTCATTGGGATGTTGGGGGCCAGTTTGGGTTGGCCACCTCCACCACTACAGCTTTATCTTTACCAAGACCTTTAGGTTTTTTAGAAATGTCCACACTCTCAGGATCCTCTAAATCTATGCTAGCATCAATTTTCCTCTTAGGATTCTTAAAACCCTCTGACTCCCTAATGACCAGGATCCTCTAAATCTATGCTAGCATCAATTTTCCTCTTAGGATTCTTAAAACCCTCTGACTCCCTAATGACCACTCCAACATTAACTCTGGCTTTATCAATCACCATCTTATCTCCTGGTTTATTGACAGAGGCCCTGGTTATCCTAGTAAAACCCCTCTGCTTTTTTTGAGTTAGGCACTCCACATTAGCAGTAGTGACTTCAATATCTATCAAATCAGAAGGACTATCAATCTTAGCCTGTTGTACAACCATAGCTTCTTTTGGGGAAGTTACTTGTACATGAACAACCTTTTTGCTACTACCTACAAGAGACTCCCCTACCCCACCCCCAAGTGATTTCTTTGTTTGAGACAGATGAGTCACACCTATGCCCAACCCTTTATCCCTACAAACATGGTCCTTAACCGAAGAACCCATGGATTTCCTAACTTCTTCACTATCCCCTTTTTCCTAGGTTTGACTACAACATACATTTGTCATTTTATCTTCTGAAGGAAAACTCCCAGAGGAAGAGGGTTTATAGTGTCTAGTAGCAGAGGAGCTCCCAAAGGAGGCTCGAATCCAGTCTCCATATTGCCCTATGTTAATAATATTTCTACTCAAATCATCCTTCTTAAACCGACAGTTCCTATCCCCATGCCCAATCCTCCCACAGTAAAAGCAAAAGGTTTGTAGATGCTCATACCTAAAGTCAACCCAGCGGCTTTTTGTACCCAGTTTTATATGGGTGCCCCGTAGAATTGGCTCTTTCAGTTGGTGTTCTATCTGCACCTTAACTATGCTTCCATTATTACTATCTGCCACTGGTACAAAAACATTCAACACTGTTCCCATCAACCTTCATATTTTGAATCCAGTTTCCTCAGATATCCAGTGCAACGGGAGGTTGGTAATCTGTACCCACAGTTTAACTTTTTCTTCATCCTCCCAAACTCCTGATTTCTAAGGTCCCACGGCTTGAGTAAGAGATACTGCCCATCAAAATTCCATGACTTCCCTAGCAATATCCTTTCTCGATCCTCTTCACACTGAAAGAGGAACTGATACAGATTATTCCCCAAGCTACGCATTGAAAAAGGCCGCTGAGTGGTCCATATGGAGCTGAGAGTTGTTTTCAGCCCCCCAAAATTCACCTTTTTTCCCCAAATGTTTTGACAATTAAGCTTAGCTGACAGTCCTTCACCCCCCCCTGCTACGTCCTCATCGGAAAGCTCCACTCCACTGACATCCCGATCTGAGAGTTTGAATTTCGGTAGTTTATCCACTACCTCGTCCTCCATACTGAACCTCTACTGCTGACAGATCTGAGAAGCACCACCAATCTGAAACCGAGGGAAAAAGAAAAAAGAAACGAGACAAGAAGCAACAAGAGAACTAGACAAAATAAGATCGCTAAGATCGCAACCAAAGAACCCTAAATCTACCGGAAAACACGAAACTACCCGAAGCAAAGAAGCACAATCAAGGCCCGAAAACCCCAAATCCTAGTAAGGAACTGAGACTCTACTAGAGAGAGAAAAACCTTAAGAGAGGGACTACTGAAGTTTCTACTGAAGTAAGGAACTGTTTCTCCATAATCTTGTTGACACCATCTTTTGTATTCTTGAACAATTACGTTCAAGGTTTTTGAATTCAAATTTCAAATTGCTATTTTTTCGAATTCTATCTTCAATGTGCCGGTGATTGGAGCTTACCATGATTTATGTTTATATATACCTTGCGGCCGAGGCCATACTTCCTACGACGAGGACAACAAAAGAAGTAGTGTTAATATCATTAAATAGCCATATAAATTTACATAAGATGAATTTTAGCAATGTTCTGTAAAAAAAATATTTTTTAGCCATTTTAGCATGTACAAATACTATTTTACCCTTACACCCAATTGTCAAATTTTATCCCAATTCCCCAGCCCATTTTTCAGGTCCCGTTTTTTCTCTCCATTTTCACCTATATCCGCATTCTTCACTAGAAAAACTAGGGTTTTCTTCAATGGAGGTATTCTTGAAGGCATGTCACCTGTCCTCCCCCCACCTTCTGCTTAATCGGACTCGTCGGAAAGTCCGAGCCCGTCCGATTCAACCCGACCCGCGATGGCGACCCGCTCGAGCTCCACGAGAGCGACGTCGTCTGGTCATTCACCGTCTCCATCGACGGCCGCCGTCGTTTCAATCCGGAGAAATCTGGCCTCTCGGCCCTCCTCTCGGACGACGCCCACCTCCCCGTCTGCCGAAAATCCAGCCCCGTGGCAATCTCGAAACAGTTACAGCAGGGGGATAGTAATACTCCGGCAAAGTTTCGACAATCGGTACCCGTGAATATCCTGGCGTGGCCGAAGAATTTGAAGGGCTCCGGCTAGGTGGAGGAGGACGACAGTGGCAGGCCGCACGTGACGTTCTCGGTTGTTCGAGGACACCGGGAGGACACTGAAGGGCTGGGATTTGCGTCGGGTCCGCAACACCGTGTTTCAAAAAACAGGTTTTATCGACTGATCGAAAAGAATTTCAGGAAAAAAATGTTGTCTTTACAATAACATGACAGAAATTTTGGAGATGAATGTCCTTTGTCATTAATTTATTTCTCTTTTTCCTTTTCCAAACAAAAAAAAAAAATCTTCAAGCACAACTTCACGCAATCTCGGTCTTGGTCGTCGCAAATCTTCACCTAAAACCTCATCTTCACGCAATCTCGGTCGTCGTACATCTTCAGGCGAACTCGATCTCGGTCTTAATAGGGTGTTTCGCCAGTGTTCGGTTCGTAGGACACCATCTTCACGCACACGGTCGGAATTGAGAGAGGGAGAGGGGTATTGTACTTTTGACAAGCATCCCACTCGCTCGACGAGAATCGAGAGAGAAATAGGGGGTTTTGTCCCGAAGCCAGCTTGCGGTTATCCCTCATCTTCTTCATTTGTGCCGTTTTGGGGTACTTATTTTTCTGCAATAGAGCGTGAATAATAGTTGCATAAAGATAGGAAATACAACCTATTATTCATTTATCCATTTAACAATTTTGTTTTCTCTTGGTCATTTTTCATCTCGCAAAAGAAAAATTCGTCAGATCGGAGTCGTTCCTTGCTGGTTTGTTCGATGGCATCGAAAAGAATCCTCAAGGAGCTAAAGGATCTGCAAAGGGATCCACCTACCTCCTACAGCGCTCGTACTTTTTTTTTTTTCATTTCGTATTTGAATTTTATTCATTCTGGTATTGTGTTTCTCATTGACTTGATTCATATGTCTATTTGAAGTTTGATCTGTGGTAGTTTGACGATTTTAGCTCGAGAGCTTGGCTTGTATTTCGTTTGGGATTTTTGATGGTAGGGAAGCTCCATTTTCTTTTATTATTATTATTATTATTATTATTCTTATGACTGAAGGTTGATGTATATTGCTTCTCTTTTATAATTTATCATTCATATCATGATATTGTTTGTAATTTGAATATACACATGTTAAGTCCAAACTCAGGTTTAATTATCAAATATGAATATGAATGTATTATTCAACTAAAGTTTAAAGGCAATGGACATCTGACTTGGAAGTGATATATATATTAGAGGTTTGGATAGACAATCCTTTTCATAATTGTGAGCCATTTGGTTTTGTTTGTAGTTGTATGAGTAATGTGTTAAACTGATGGATGCATGTTTTGGCTTTTGAAATTCAGAACTATATTTGTTCGGCTTTCATCAATATGCAGCAGTATTTGGATTATTTAAGAATTTCATTGAGTGTCCCTTAAAAAGTTAATATTTTGACTTATTTAGGATTAACATTCCTTCTTGTCCCTAACTGAAATGACCCCTTCAGTAAGCTGTTGCCACACCACACCTAACAAAACAGGCTGGAAAGACACCTGCGAACAAGCCAAATCAGCAGACATCAAAATCTGGGGGATCACATTCCTGCAAGAGCTGCAACAGGTACACCAAAATCATGGGATAATCTCTTGATTATTTTTCATGAATAATTACAATTACTGAGCCTGAATCTGAAAACATCTTTAGTATGTATGTTTCTAATATACATGTTCCATGCAATTTTAAAAGATAACTCGTAGTTCTTGTCTGCAAAGTTATAAACCTTAGTTGTACGCTATTGCCAGAATCTCACAAGTTATGAAAGAATGGAACTGAAATAATAGTTGTTGTTGGTTTTGCATGCAGGACATTTACATCTGAGCAAGGCCTTGATTCCCACACAAAAGCCAAGCATGCTGGTAGGATGAAATTGCATTATATTTGAAGATGAATTATATTTACTGGTTTTAATTTTTCTAAGTTAATATCAGATTGTTTATTTTCGTCTCCAATGTCTCTAAACTATAACATGTTTTATTTTTCAGTATCTCTCGTATGTTTAAAACTCCTCTTCACTATCAAGATGAAATAAGCCGTTACTCCGAAAATCTCTCCTAACTCACTCTTGTCAATCCCGTAATCTACATATTTGTGTGTATGAGTTGATCAGTGCTTGTTTTATGAATCAATTTTGATCAGCTTCTGCATACTTGTAATGAATCAATTTTTTTTTTTTTGTTTTTGCAGATTTTTGCAGAATGCTCGGAACAACTCTGGCATGAAACAGGCTTGGACAGGCTTGCACGGGATGTTCCGATTGATATATTTCCATTGAGAAAGTAATTGGAGCATCCACAAAAATTTATCAACGTTAAAGTAATATATCACTAAAAACTAAATTTTACGTTTAATTATAAATTGAATTGAGTTTGGCGATGCTTTTACAATTGCAGACCACATGACATCAGATATCGGCCATCAACCTCCTCTTTTAAGATTTACTATTGTTCCTTATATTAGTAATTTCGTGTAGCCAGTATATTATGTTCTTTGTTATTGATTATAATTTTGCAAGATTTTCAAGTCAATTCACATAGTTTTTTCAAGATCTACGTTTTAAAATTTTTTTCTAGTTTTGCTGAAACTGAAGGAGAATAGCTCGACCAATGGGAGATGAGTGAAAGAAGTTGAGGCTCGAAGACAAGGAGAGAAATAAAACAACAAAATAAGGGACTAAAGTCGGCATTGTGTAAGTTTAATTGATGTCAAATTTTAACATGAGTTTACACTAATAGCATGATGGAATAAAAAGAATTGCTTTTAGGTTTGAACTTTAATACACCTTTGTGGTACTGTTTGTTTGGAATAGATTGTTAAGTGGATATTAATATTTTGGTTTTTAACACACCTTCTTCAATATTGTGTTCAAACAAAAAAAAAAAAAATTAACGCTTTTGATTTTTGGCTTGCTTAATCTAACTTTACGAAACCCTCGCCCTCGCCCCCAATTTCTCTAGAACTCGTTTCCTCAGATTCATTGTCGTCGGCCTTTCAAAGTGTCCATCAAGCTTCGTCGGCGGTCGCCGGCCCTTGGCCGCTTGGCTCCTGCCTCTTATTCTCCTCTCCGCTATCCGTTTCCCATGGAGCCGGGCTCGCCTATCGCGGACGGTCTTCATCTTTTCCAGCGACTTTTCGCAACTTCCGGGCGGTGGCTTCTCTTCTGGGCGGTGGTGGAGCCGTCGTGCGGTTCTCGAGGCGGGACGCTACCCAATTGCTCGGCGATGTTGTTGGTTGAGCAAATTGGGAGTTGCTGCGGTCCGAAGTTTAATCGACTTTTGGGTCGAAGAGATCGTAGCGGCCGTTCTTCTTCTTCTGCCTGTGGTGATGGTGGGAGTGGTGAGGCGGTGGTGCGGTGGCTTTGGACAGCTTCCAAGCGTGATGGGGTTGGGACTGGGGCCTTGGTACTCGTTTGTCTGTTTGGGACAATCTGGTGTTGTGGCCGTGGTGCGGGGTGGACTGGTGTGGTTCCGGGGCTCAGGGTTCGACACTGTTAGGCAACCGAGTGGTTTGGGCAGTTTCGGGGTCGATCCATCTGGCTGCAGGATTCACAGTTGCCTTGTTTCCGTTGGTTCAGTTAGGTGTCGATACTTTGGAAAGGCTCTTTGTTGTTTTCCTTTATTTTGTTGCTTGCGTCTGTGTTAGTAATGTGTTTTTGGTCCGGGTCTTTTACCCGGGTGTTTCATGTCTTGTATTTTTGGTCTGGGCCGTTGGCCTCTGTGTGAGCGGGAGCAACTTAGTATCCTGTGGGGACCAGCTCCTGTCTCTATTCTCCTGTGGGGAGCTTTTTAGTTGTAGATTTTCTGTGTGTTTGTTGTTTCGAGTGTCTTGTTTTGGTTGCTAGTATTTGCTAGTGTCGGGCTTCTAGGCGGTCGTCAGACCTGTCCTCCCATTTTATTCAGCTTTGGGCTGCATTCCAAGTTGTATCTTTGCACATTTGTGCGTCTGTTATATAAATTCTCTATCGTTTTGGCCAAAAAAAAAAAAAAAAAAAAAATGGCTTGCTTATTCATTAGCTTTGGTACTTTCAGGAGACTTTGAGAAAAGCTGAAGAGATTTTCGGGATGGATAATAAAGACCTCTACATATCATTTTAGCGGTTGCTAAACCGCAGCATGCATTAGAAAGTGCATTACAAGTGAAATTTGTGCTTCAGTCTCTAGGTTATGAGGTTTCCTGTAGAGGGACTTGGTGTACGCTTCATTATTTGACCTTTAAACATGGATATGTGAACACTGTTGATTGATATTTTGTTTTAAGAAATGGTTGAGACTTTAAATGGCACTAATGTATGGTACATATGTAAATAATGACATTTGTTGTAGTGTCATCTTTTGTTGTTGCTATAAACATAATGCCTTTATATTGACCTTTCAAATGGGTACATCAATCACCATCATAGGGCGACAACAATTAGTGAATTCGTTGGAAGCATGTAAGGCAAAGAATGCGTACATGAACACAACATTGTCATTTGTCTCATAGCATGTGGTGGTTCTAGGATTTCCTCACATCAGCATATGAAAATATCCAGAAAAAAGTTTCTAAGATTTATTATGATCCTAGTAAACGAAGTCATACGCGACATTATGAGACTTTAGTGCTTTATTGTATTTGACTTGGTGTACCATGATCACACTCCTGGTCACTCATTATATACCTCTAGGGGCTGAGCGACTGAGGTCGAGCTACATGTATGATTGTTGAATTTACAATTTTTCAATTGACATATTTTTGACACGACAATGTAAAAAAAAACGTCTTATATATGCGTCAATGTCTTACATAATAAAACAAATAAAATTTGAACCAGAATCGACTTCTTTGATCGATTTCTGGGACAATAAATTATTCAAAAATTGTTTTTGGGATTCAAAAAGTGATTCAAAAATCGTTTTTGAGATTTCTGAGATTTCTAGGGACCAGAAACGATTTCTGGGGTCCAGAAACGATTTCTACGACCAGAAATCGATTTCTGGGCTCCAGAAATGGTCCAGAAATGATTTCTGGGACCAGAAATCATTTATGGGATTTATGGCATTTCTTGGACCAGAAACGATTTCTGCGACCAGAAATCCGATCCCAGAAACCGTTTTTCGGATTTTTGGGATTTCTGGGCTCCAGAAATGGTCTTGAAACGATTTCTGCGACCATAAATCATTTCTTGGATTTCTGGGACCAGAAACGATTTCTGGGGTCCAAAAATCAATTTCCGACCCCAGAAATCGTTTTTCGGATTTTTGGGATTTCTGGGGTCCAGAAATGATCGTTTCTGGGCCCCAGAAACGATTTCTGAAGTCCAGAAACGATTTCTGGGGCCCAGAAACGATCATTTCTGAAGCCCAGAAACGATTTCTGGACCCCAGAAATTGACGATTTTTGATTTTTTTTTTTTTTAAGAAAAATAGATAGTAAGGGTAGTTTGGTATTTTTAGGTGCCAAAATGGCTAAAAAAGATGTTTTTCCTACAACATGGCTAAAATTTATGTTTTATATTTCTACTTGGCTAAAAAAAAAATTCACTGAAAGAAGTAAGCATTGATTCCGGATAAATATACTACATGTATACAGAATATATACCACTAACATACTATATAAAGTTCTTAAAAACCAACAATCAATAAACAATATATATACGAAAAATATACAATATATATACAAAAAATATATAGTATATACACAGTATATATACAAAAATATATTGTATATATCGCGCCGGATCGTCTGGCCCGACATGGCGTGTTCAGTATTGTTCTTTCAATGTTGAACGGATTTTTTTTTTCCTTTAATTGTGATTGTCTTCGGTTACTGAATTATATGAGCAATTTAAGGAGCAGTCTGACTTCTTATTTGGTAACTGATATATTTGCATGTACACAATTAAATGACATATGCAATAAAATGTAACACCATGGTAAGATTGCAATTATTTTAAAATCACACGATAAACATAAAATAACCCTTACACGCACCTTCATGTCCCAAAAGCTACTTGGAAAGATAAATATGTGGGACAATGCAAATGTAATGTTGGGCATCTTCGGCTCTTATTTCTACGTTAGTGCAGAATTTACCTACTCTATATTGGTGTGAAATAAAATTAATTTTCGTCTTCAACCAATCATTGCCACATTTTACTATATACTAAATATTCTACTTATCGTTGCTACATTTTACTATATACTAAATATTCTATTTTAATTTTCATTATTCATATTTATTTTAATGTCAAAATCTAATTAATTAGTATATATATATATATATATATATATATATATATATATTTATGAAAACATTCATAAATATTGCAATGAATTACATGAATCCTTTAGTTCACTCTTAACATATGATCCTTGTCCGAAAGTATAGTAGAAATCATACTTCTATTTTAAAACATTTTTTTGAAAAATCTATTTAGTTTTTTAATTTATTATAAATTTTTAAACTGCACAAGTTTAACATTAAATAAATGTTACAACATTAAATTTCATACAAATACAAATTTAATTAACAATTTTTTCAACTAATAAATAAATGCTTAACACATTTGTTGTTATACAAAATTTAACAATAATTTTAATGTAGATTAAGCTGTAAAGAAAGTAAAAAAATGAGTTTTTTTATAGATTTTTTATGTAAGTTTTGAGTACAAGATGTCAGTCTTCGCTATAACCGAGTTGTTAAATGTAGCAATTTAATGTGTCGAAAAAAGATGCTCGTAGTAGAGTAAATGCTGCTATTTATAGTAACTTTTGGCTTGTCTTTTGAGATGATTCAGCGGCATTTAATGCGAGTTGACTGTATAGGGTCAACTACCCTGTGCAAGTGGGCCCGCGAACAATGATGAGAACATGTGCGAAGCGACAGCTGATTGACGGCCATCACTTCCTTGTCGGGCGAACCTCAGTCTATAATGACCTTGGTCCATTGCTGATGTCGGTCAACAGCCAGTAGAACTGAGTCGTCTTTCTTGCTTATTTCTTTCTAGGGTACCTGAAGTCGGTTTACTCTTCTCTTTTTATCTGCCGTTAATTTCGTTCCTTATATGATCCTCCACGTGGCACATCCTTAATAGATGTTTCAAGTCGGATGTCAACATAGAGGCTCCTGAAATTAAGAGGTATACAAACGATGGTGACTCTTAATGCCAATCCCCTTCCGTTAATACCGTCTCGAAATATTACCTACCAAACCGACGTCAGACCTTAAGGTAGATTATATTTTTGTTTCTCAGAGCGAAATAATACAGCAGTTACGAAACGACCCATCAGTTACGATAAGACATGCCCCCAATTAATACGCTCAACGAATATATGCCAAAAGTAACGGTCCCACGTTTGAGCGGGTTTCGCATACGTGTCTGACGGGGATACGTCCACGTGCTTTAATGAGGGCACGTGAAACATTTCAACTGGAAGACGTGTCTACTGCTCGTGCATGTTCATTACCAACGGTCATAAGCCCCCCTATAAATACTCGCTCTTTTAACCCTCAAAGGTTTCATCTCAACACTCTTCATCGAGTCGATACTCTTGTTAACGTTGAAAGCGAATTTTCAATTACTATGAGAGCATCTCTAATGCATTCTTTTGAAAGGGTAAAAAGTTATGCACCTAATCTAGATAGAAAGTGTATGAATAATTTATCCTCCAAAATGCATTAGATTATAGGTCCTTTCATGCTTATGTGTAAAAAATTAATGTTAACATTGTCAAGCTCACTTTCTAATTTTTCACATTCTTTCTAACATGATGACTCATCATTTTGATAATTATTTGACACAAATTTTGAGCTTTTCATAAACTTGGAAAAATCTCACCCTTACATTTATCCAATAAAACATTTGAGAATTTATTTGAATACAGTATAATTATTTGATGAGTTACAACTAAAATTTAAAAAAAAATATCAATAATAATGTCCTGAAAAGTAAAATATTATGTTCATGATATTTGTTTGTTGAGCTATTGCAATTTTAATATTTTTTTGTTTTATTTTGAACCAATTAAAAAAATATTTATTGTGTGGTTATACATATTGTAACTGAGAAATTATTGAATAAATAATAATTTTACAAATTTGATGATATAAATAAAAATTAACTGAATCTACAAAAAATAACATCATGCATATAATTATTGGAATTTGTGGTTTTTTTCTAATATACTCTTTGATTTTATTAATAATTGAATAAATCTACATATACAAATTGTATGGTTGTTGAATGGATGCATTGGAGGCAACAATTCAAATGAAAGTCCTATTCTTTTAACATTCAGTTTATGTAGATTAAACATTAATCCATTGATTGACATGTGTTCAAATTTAATTGTTGAAAGTTGAGCATTGGAAATGCTCTGATGGATTGAGTTGTTGATAAACATAGTTTAAAGCTCTGACCATGATAGTTTTGTGTTACGTCAATCTAACCATTAAATCAACACTCTTTCCACAAATATGCATGCATTCATTAGAAAATGTCAGAGAGTTAAAAACATCACAAACAAAAAATATGACAAAGTCTGATTATCAATTCTAACCATTAAATCAACACTCTTTCCACAAATATGCATGCATTCATTAGAAAATGTCAAGAGTTAAAAACATCACAAACAAAAAATATGACAAAGTATGATTATCAATTCATCGAATATGACGAGTCGACCCGCCTAACGGTTACACTATCTCACACAAAAATTTATGCTCTCACCAATTAAAGATATAGTGAATCAACTGGAAATAAAGTCATACATTAATTAACAAGGTACATTAAGTACATACACTTTTCATTAATACGTTACACAACCTCTAATTGAACGATAATGCACTCAACCTCCCTGAAATTAATATACACTGATGCAACTGAGAAAACTCCCATAATGCAAAATAAAAGTGGATAATTCGAAAAAACAGAGCCGCATTAAGTCCAAATCCCATAATCCCCTCCACACAAATTGTACGTTTTCCGCAAGAAAGAAAGATGGTCCACAAACAGCAACGCACAAAGCCAAAGTCTCGTTATCAAACATGCTCTGGATGAGAGGGTGCCGTCAAAGGTACCTCCGCCTGTTCACCGGCCACAAGTAGGCCTCTGCTTTGAGCAGACTGGACAACAATTGCAAACTGTGTTGCAGCCAAAGCTGCAGCTTCCTGTTATTTGGTCAAATTATATTTAGGCGAGTTCTTGCAGAAACTTTTGTTTTATCATGAAGCAAAATGAGTTGATACAATACATATGGCGTTTTCCACAGATAGAAGCTAAATGAGTACAATAGGTTAAGACAGATTGATTGGTGAATAAATTGGTTGTACTGTCCTTTCTAATTGCAAACGCCGTTTCCTAATTTACCAGGCCCGTGCTTTTATACCAACTAAAATATGCAGAAGTAGAGCAGAACTAATGTTTGAAGTTACTATTTTATCATCCAAATACCGAAAATCACATTATTAAAGCATGTAATGCGCACTTGCGAAAATTTTACCGATTACAAAATAATAATACCTGTCTTTGCCTCCTGCGTTGCAAGATACTGATGGCCCAGATCATGATGTAGCAAGGCAAAAGGAATCCGACCGCACGAAGCAAGAACAGCTGTCGAATATTTTAATTACTCAGCAAAATTCACAATATCGATGCAAGATAATAATTTTACTAAAGCAAAACGTTGGTGGTCAAGCAGCAACTTACAGACAGGAATGCCGATGCATCGTCATCTCCATCACCATTTCCATCATCAGTGATCGAAAGTGCATGCCTCAGTAATAAAAGAGCCATTAACTGCAAATTGCAATTTTTGGCAATATAATTTAATATAGATTTGCATGTAGAGCAAAACTATTATTCAAAGAGAATATATTAGTGCATTTGTAGTGTCTTACGATCAGGGCAGCCGAGCGGCAGAAGGCAGCACCACTAGCATTGGTGCCATTATAATCATCATAGTCAGCTTCAAACAACTGACGTTCGGCCTCGGCAATTGCAAGAAGACGAGGATCGTGCATGTCAAGTGGGGTCCCAGAAATTTGCCATACTCCCCTGAAGAAAGATAATCAGAAAACAAATCAGAATTAGGACTTCTAGTGATGGTCACATATATTTAGAATTGAGAAGTGAAATGAGTGACGGGAAAGGTTCGATCTTCAAACTAGGGTAACTATGAAAGTACAGTAGGCCTTGAGGTAATTATAATATAAAGAAAATTTTCAAATTACAAAAAGAAGAGAAAAAATAAATTATTTTTTTATTCCATGATTGTATCTTACAGTTTTTGGAATCATTGGGAAAAACGTTTGAAAACCCCCATTCTTAAGAATCACTATAGAAGGAGTAATGACGCATAATTTTGATACACATGAAAAACAGTTGTTTACCCGATATCAATAGTAGTCTCATCAGGAGGAGGACGTGGAATTGCAGTGTAACCAGGCTGATATTGCTGCATAACAATGTAAAAGATGTGGCATTATAGAAGTAATACTATTTTGAATTTTGAATAAATATACACGTGTTATACAACAATCACGTAAAATTTCTTATGAAACAAGTCATAACAAAAATATTCTGCAACCTAGCACAAATGTAGAATGCTTTGTGAAAGATAACACAACTATCACATAAAACTTCTTATGAAACAAGTCAAATTTTGCAACCCAGCACAGATGTAGAATGCTTTGTGAAAGATAATGCACACACAATCAGTACGCATATATGATGACATTTTCCCAATGCGTGTCTAGATACTAATGATTGATTCACACAACCAATAGAACAAACTAGAAATAAATAAGGTGTGCGTATGGTGATGCCAATCATAAGTTTTTATTCCTAATCATGTCTTATATTTTAGTCTTTCTATTTATGTCTATGCAAGAAACCGGTCCACAGACCAAAGGCAAACAGCAATATTTTTGGGTTTCCATAATCTGCACATTCATAAAAGAAAAACTTTTTAAAATGTTAAAAGCTTACTGCAAATTTGTTCTCGATATCTTGAGGTTGCTATAAACTCTAAGCTTCTCAGAAAAAACACCACTTACATTTACCAGATTTAGCTCAAGTTCTTACTGGCACCACCCAGCTTCCATTGTTACTTTGTTAGTAACATACAAATAAACACTCCCAACAATCAATTATCTCTTGAAGTGAAGTTCTAATTGAATACCCCAAAACTGCTTAGGTGAGAGGAAAAAAATCATAATAGGAATGTACTAAACCATCGTCATAAAGATATTACAGTTGAAAATTAATACATGCCAACAGAATTATCTAATTTTGATCCATTTCTTACAAAATAAAAACACCAAAGGGATTAAGCTAAAAAGAGCAATCAGATACCTGATGGCAGATCTCACAGGTTATGTCTCCCTTCTCATTACACCAGTGCTGTACACATTTTCTGTGGGCATACTGGAAAGTAATATGTCTCAGTAAAAAAGAAAACAGGGCAATTTGAACAAATGAATATCCTGAACAACACAGGTGGGTTCCACGAGAACAGACAAAGGTTGGCCAAATGTAAGACAGATCATAAGCATAACCCTTAATATTTGCATGCAGTCAATTAATACTAAGAGTGAAATACAGATAGCAAAATGTAGATATTATAGGCTTTATCACACATAAAACAACTACTCATCAAAGGATAATCTTATCATGTGTGACTTGAAGGAATTTTGTTAAACATTTGGCACCATGTAATCGTAAGTAGGCACCTGACATTTGATAACATAAAAGCATCCTACATTGAGCCATCAAATCAATGCCTAAGAGAACTTCAAGAAATAAAATTTAAAGTTCACCAAATATCCCAAGCTAATCAGTATAAAATAAATAACACAAATATACATCAACCGACCTAGACCAATAAGGAATTCCTACAAAATAAGCATTTTTGTACCTTAAGACTCCCACTGCAAGCACAAGGACTCTCCAAGTTGCTGAAAGAATCCTCTTCTTGGCAAATACGGCACTCTCCCATTCCTATTAGAGGCGCTTGCTCGTCCTCCTCATTTTCCACCACCACCACCACTCTATCATTATCTGTCACCATGGACGATGAGGACCCTACCATCTCTGGCTTCTTTCCAGTAGAATCAACCACCTCAAGTTTTGGCAGTTGATTCACGTTCTCCACAGTATGCTCACCCATCTTTACACCTTATTTACACCAACCAACCAACCAACTCAAGCAAATCCTGACCAAAACACAAGCGCATCAATTACATGAAATTTCTGATCAAATAAAAACCCCTCTTTCATCAATTCATCAAAGTAAAAAGAGGTGTCCTTTGCCTAAATATAAAACCTATGAAATGTTCGTTTCTTCGTTATTTACAAAGCTTGTAGGATTTCTTTGCCTGTACATTTGCTATAATCGCCTGATTAAAACAAAATTGAGAACCGAAACTAGAAACCCAATTCACGTGATAAACAGAACCCTGATTTTCCTAACCTATGAACCCACATAAATTACACCTTCAAGAAGAAATTCAAACTGCAAAGCCCTACTTCAAGGGTATCTCATAAGAACTGAAAAATTGGAAAAATTCCACTGGTCTCGCTGGCATAGGCAGCGGGATCAGAGAATATATCCGATTAGAAAACAGAAAATATGAAGGTCAATATCTAATTCAACCAGAAATTAAATCAAGATAAAAGCAGGGAAAATAAAGGCACAATCAATGCAAAATCAGCATGGATAAAAAAATAAGGAGAGAAAAAGAGGTACCTGAAGAATGGACCAAAAAAAGGAGAAGAAGAAATCGCGAATTTGTAGCACAACCAAGAAAATCTCAAGGAAAATAAAACAGTATGAAACAACGGATTGATTTTGATTTTCTGACCGTCTGTGTGTACGCGTTTTGTTTGGCTTTTAGGTAAATAAAATAGTACTTACTAGTGTATACACTAGTAATTTACTAGTACTTACTAGTAAATTAAAAATATTATAAATAGATCTCGAGTTTGAGTCACTCAATGACCGAAGTGGAAATTATTATTGATCCTATTTAAAAAGAGAAATAAAAAAAAAATAATTATAAATTAAAGAAGAAGATAAACAATACTTAATAATTATAAATTAATGATTCGGGGTCAAACAATGTAAAATTATTTTGTATAAAATAATATAAAAAAATTTGATTACACACCATTTCAAAATTATTATTATACTTTTTTGTATGCTTAACTTATAATATTTGTAAAAATATTAATAATTAGACCGATAAAAATTAGCTTCTTAAAGTAGATAATTGATTTTCAGTAGTAATTATGAATTGGTTTCTATTTTATTTTATTTTTTATTTTTAAAGATAATGGATTTTTAGTAGTAATTATGAATTGGTTTCTATTTTTTATTTTTTTTTTAAATCTGTATAGATAAGGGATGAAATTTTTTAAATACGGGAGACGTATGCAATGGGATTTTGTAACAGAAGAGATAAGCGTGTAGATTTATACTAAAAATAGGAAAAAAAAACAAATATTTATTGTCAAACAACGGTTTTGATAAACTAAAAAAAATGAGCGATTTTTTTGCCTATTTAGATTTGTCCAACAATTACTATATTAGGATATATTTAATGATTTTGGCGGGAAAAAGTTTCTAAATTTGTAAAAAGGTTATTCTTTTCATATAATGATAGATCTGATTTTTCTTTTTCTTGTTTGGCTAATATCGACTTTTTATAGGGTAGTTTATTTATTTAAAAAAATAAGTGGAGAAAAATAAAATAAAAAAAAGGAGTAGAAAAAAATAAAAAGGACGTATTCTATGAATCCGTTTTTCTAATAACATTTTATTAGAAAAACGTATTCAAATTATACGTTTTATATTTAATTTTGAATAATTTTTAAAATATTTATTTCTTTTTAAAAAGAGTCGAATTGAAAAAAATTAATAATTATAAACCGTATTTAACAAATCCGTTTTCCAAAACCCTAAATTGATTGATTTTTAGGGTTTTAAAAAACGGTTTTTTAATACGTTTTTAATTCATAAAATTTAAATTTAAAAAAATATTTTAAACCGTATATTATAATTACGTTTTTAATTAACTAAAAATTATAAAAAATATTAAAAAACATATAATTATTATACGTTTTTAAATGAAATTTTAAAAAAAAATGAAAACATACTTATATTTAAAAAAAAATGAAAAAGAAATTTTCTTCTCTTCTTCCCCATTTCATTTGCGCGACTTCATTCCTCATTCTGCAGAAATTGCGAAAGCTTATCGAAAAAAAAAAAAAAACTCGATCCAATCGCCACCTCGACGTGAATCGACAACAACAACACGAACCTCATTTCGGTTAAGTCATTCGCACGAGGTATATTGGCTTATCTCAACTTTTGACATTGTTTGGAGTTGTTTGGAGATTTGTAATTGTTATAGTATGTTTGAATGTGGTGGTGTTTGAAGATTGTGAATTGTTAATTGTTTATCGATTATGTGTGTATGTTGAATTGGAGATTAGAATTTTGTTCTAAATTGTCAATTGTGTATTGGTTGGTTGTTGTTGGGCTTAGGGTTTTTTGAAATTAGGGTTAGAATTAGAATTAGGGCTTTCAGTTTATTCGAAATAGGTGAATTGTATGTTATTGTTGGATTATGGGTATTAGGGTTTTGGAGGATTAATCGATTGGGAATATGTTTTTTGGTTTTTTCGTTAGAGTAAAAGATGGGTTTAAAGAATAATTGAATTTTTTGGGTGTTGGATTACACATTATGTGTTGTTGTAATTGGGAAGAATTGAAAGTTTTTGTTTGCAACAGGTATAAATGGCGTATTGTGGTCCGTATTTTGTTAATTTGTATTGGCGATGTGCGAAGGAACAATTAAGAGATTTTGTTTCATTTATGGATAGTCCGGATGGTTCATTTGTTATTACGGGGAGGATATCATATGAACAACTAGTACAGATGATTAATGAAAATTGTCGGTTTGGAGAAAGTTGGACAATTCAAGCGATTACTTTAACGTTTCGTCAACTCGATGGTTCGTGGACTGCCGGAAGACTCAATAACGATAGTGCTCTTGAGTGGATTTATTTATCTTCTTCTATGTCCGTTGTGTATTTGCATTTATCATTGGAGGCAATTACACCGGTCACAAAATTTGAAGATTTTACTCCTTATTACGGGAGAATGGATGAGGGCACGTCGACTTCTCATCTACGTAATTGTGCTCACCAATTAGATGAAGAGCAAATGAGGACGGGGAAGAAAGTGACAAAGAGTTCGCACTCGGTGGAGATGATTTCACAGACAAGACCTCAGAAACCGAATCAGATAGATCGGTGAATGAGGAGAGTGAAGCCGAGTTCATTGAAGAAGAACACCCCTTTCCTAGTGGTGGTCGGCACGTATACAGCGAGATGGATGAATGGGAGCCGTCCAGGATAGATGAGGACGAGTATGCTATTCCACGCTGGAATGGCGACATTGAGACCATATGTTTGGGTATAGTTTTTCGAAGCAAACAAGAAGCCCAAATGGCTTTAATGGGTTGGAACGTCGATAGGTTGCGGGAGATTCGGGTAAATTATTCAAATCAAAAGTCATACAAAGTGGTCTGCAGATCTAGTGAAGATCCGCCTTGTGTGTGGAAGGCTCGGGTGACTAAGTCCAGATGAGTTCATGAAATGTGAGAACTAACTGAATGGACTGATAGACACACTTGTATGCAACCGGTCGAGAGAAATGACCACAGAAATGTAACCGCCCAAATAATTTCAAATCTCATTCGTAATAAGATTCGAAAGAAAGTGGAGTACGGTGTCGACATGATCCAGGCTGATGTGAAACAATGCTGGAAAGTTGATGTCAGCTACAAGAAGGCATGACACGGAAGGAGAAAAGCCATCAAGAGTGTGTATGGCACTTGGAAATCAAACTTCGCAGAACTCCCTCAGTAAGCAAAAATTAATTACAAATATATATGTTGTTTGTTTGTCGCTATGTTTATCTATTTATTATGAAACCATTTTGTAATGTGTAGGTATTTTGCCGCGCTTCAAAGAACGAATCCCTCCACAGTTGTAGAGTGGGAATGGCAAGGTGGGGAAATGACGCGACAACTTCGAGACAGACAATTCAAATTTGTATTCTGGACGTTTGGTCCCACCATTCAAACTTTCCAAATGTGCCCGCCGGTTATTAGCGGCGATGGCACATATTTGTGTGGATCCTACAAGGGAAAATTTCTTGTGGCCACGGCACAGACTGCGAATAAGCGTCTATTGCCAGTCGCATATGCGCTTGTCGATGAAGAAAGCATGGACAGTTGGTCATTTTTTCTTAGGAATCTGCGGCAATATGTAGTCTTCCAGAGACGGATCTGCGTTCTTTCCGACAGGGATGCGGGCCTACTCAGTGCCATTGAATCATTAGCAGATTGGCAAGAACCCGCTGTGTATCACCGGATTTGCCTTCGACACCTTCGAAGTAACTTGATGACTAAGTTCAGGAGTAAAAAAATTCGGACTTGGTGTTGGGAATTGGGTTCGCAGTTGTCGGAGCGAAAGTTTCGAGGGACAGAACAGCGACTGTTGGCATTAAGTTCCGAAGCACACGATTACCTTTTTCGAATTCCTTTGAACAAGTGGACCCTATTTAAAGATCAAGGACGCAGATGGGGCACATTGACAATGAATATGTCGGAGAGTTACAACAACGTCCTGAAATGGGTAGGTTCCTGCCATGCAGAGCTTTGGTAGACGCCACATTTCATAAAACTCTGGATTTGTTTCAACAGGAACAAAACAAATCCACGAGATGCAGGAGTCCCATTGCTAGGGAGCACTTTAACGCATTTTTGCAATTGGAGAAGACAGCTGCCAGTCATAGTGTGAGAGTTAGGGACGCCGACAGCTCCATGTAAGAAGTGAAAACCGGTTTACGGGCTAGTGGAAGAGGGCAAAACAAGTAAGTATATGTTTTTTTTTTCTTTGTCCATTCAATTTTTTCATATTGTATATATATAAATCATTGGGGAATTATTACAGGTATAAGGTAGATTACAACCGAAAACGTTGTACTTGTCGGAAGTGGCAGACGCATAGGAAACCATGCTCTCATGCGTTAGCAGTCTGTCGTTCAGTTGGGACTGACCCAAAACTGTTGTACAGTGAGTATTTTTGGACGGAGAACTGGGTAGCTCAGTTTAGCAATTGGAGTTTTGCTCCGATTGGTAATCCGGATACATGGGCGCCGGTCGAGTGGAAATTGATACCATACTGGGAGAGGATGATCATGAAACCTGGACCCAGTCGCGTGCAAACGAGACGATATCGCATGCAAATGGATCGTCGGGCACGCCGCAGGAGGGATAGGGGACAGTGCACTAGATGCGGTGATCCAAATCATGTTGTGGATGAGTGTCCGTCTTCACATCCTCGCACCGACAGGTCTAGACTTCGTGATGAGTGAGGAAACTAGATTTGTTATTGTTTATTCGAATTTGTTTGGAGAGTTCATTTGGATTTGGTTGGATGATTTGAATTTGTTTGGAATTGTTTGAATGATATTTACTGCAATTTTGGTTTGGATGGTATTTTGGTTAGATTGTGTATTTCAATTTGTTTTGTTGTTTTGGATTGTTAGAATAGGCTTTTTGGGGTGTTACAATGGAAAAAACTTGTATTTTTTTTATCCCAGTAGAAAATGTATTTTAGAAATACGTTTTACAAATAATTAACTGTAAAACGTATTACCAAAATACGTTTTATAAATACATAAATGTAAAACGTATTCTTGTAATACGTTTTTAAAAAAAAATTAAATTATATATTTTATGGTTTATAATAATATAATATATGATATTTATTATATTATATTATATAGTATATTGTTATATAACATATATATAGTATAGTCTAGTATATAATATATATAACAAATAAAATATAACATATAACATATAGATAAAATGTGGAGGGTCACTTGAGGTTGTCAATTCAGAACAAAATTAAAAAAATTTTATGGAGGTGCTGGAATGATTTTATTAGTTCTAAAAGGCAGTTGGCTAAGAGAGTACTGGGGTGTGAATTGTTGTGTGATGTCTGTGGGGAGGATAATGAGGACTTGAATCACATTCTGTTTAATTGTAACAGGGCTAGGGTGTGCTGGCAGTTATTAGGAGTGAGTTGGGATAAGATGGCTATGACTGGCACTGATTTTGGGGTTTGGTGGTATGAGATTTGTACAGCTCCTAAGGCTAACCACATGATTGATAGGATTAGTTTATCTACTTATCTTTTGTGGTGGCTTTGGAAAACTAGGAATAGTTGGGTGTTTGAAAAAAAGTGGGTTAGGGAGCACAAAATTGTCCAGAAAGCTCTTGGTGACTGGCAACTGTTTAGGGACTGTGAGGACCCAGTCAGAATTGCAAGGAGAAGAATAGAGACAGAGGTTAGGGGGAGAGATGGGATTAGAGGTAGTAGCAATATGAGGTTGTCTGACAGTATAAGTGGGGAGGAGCAGACGGAGAGAATGGGGATTGCAGTCAGCTGTTGGGTTCAAAATGGGAAACTGGGGTTGGGTGGTAAGGCATTCTCTGAAAATAGGGTTCTTCATTTGTGGGATACATCTAGGGACTTCAGGGGAAGTTCAGTGGAGGCCTACATTGAAGGAATCTATTGGGTGCTGGACAAGGCCAAAGACAAGGGGTGGAGGGATATCATTTGTTACATAGATTGCAGGGCAATGGTGGTGTGGATTCAAGGTTTATCTGAAGATATGGAGCAGTTGAGTTCTGATGCCAGGGCTTTCAAGCAACTTTGGTCTTCTTTTAGATTCTGTGATTTTATTTTTGATGTTTTTCATTGTAAAGATTGTATCCATTTAGCCAAAATGGCTTCTCAAGGTAATTTGTAAACATCATTATGTTGTTGCATGAGTAAGCTTTCGAGTTTACTTAGGTAATATTTGTGCCTATTTAGGCCTCGCATTGTAAGACTATTGTTTGAGTAATTTTATCTTGTTTGTTGTCGTTGGAAAAAAAAAAAGAAAATAAAATTATCCTAACATCCTTATTTCCCCCTTGTAACTAATTAGTAAAGGCCCACAAAGTCTGCACTGTGATAGATCCTTTTATCTATCAAAAAGTTGTCCAAAAATTATTATCGACAATAAGGTACGATCATAACTTCTAGGAAATAAGAAAAAGAAGAAGAAAAATGTGTTCAATTTACCGTGTTCGCGTTCTCGTCGGTTGGACTTTTAGTTTAACAATCGACAATATTTGGCCAAATCAAACTTTCTAGAAACCAATCATTAAACATAACATAAATAGCACAATGTATAAGATTTTGCATTGCTCTTAATGTTTTAACATCACGGAGCTAATGGAGCGATTGAAATAAAAATACTTATATTTTGATGTTAAATTATGAACTTCCGAGCTTTTAACTTTCGATCACGTATCGTTAGATCTAACATGTCGAGGCTCACTGGACTTGCCATAAAAGATATGAGAAAAAGAAAAAATAAAACTCTAAGAACAAGAAGAATTGCAATTAGACATAAAAAGTATTCATTGATGAACAATGTTTAATCAGCTTCAAAGTAGGTCAGCAGCAACAAAACTTAGAAGCGAAGAGAAAGAAAACCAACCTTGAGCATAAATTAAAAATGATCTGAAAGCACTCTTTCACAGGGAGACCAGCCACACCACACACAATCTCATAGGCCTCCCTCGCTATAAATATAAAAAAAAATCTATCGTCCACAAATACCCTAATACACTATATATTATATGAACAAGATTGTACCTCCGAGTAAAACCCAGCCCAATTTTTACAAATAGTCTGAGGAATGATCCATTGAACTGCCAGCATCATATCCCCAATCTCTTTCATCTTTCAAATCGGCAGTTAACAAGAGAACCAAATTCCAAAGAACCATAACAAAACTTTTGCAAGAATCTTGAGAAAATTGGCATTTTTTCCTTGATTTGATTAAACTTTGCATATTTGAATACGACATAAATTACGAGTATCTACTGATGCGTGTGACTATGTACTTCCCTTTCTCCAAATCGTATATTGTCTTCAGCTGAGGTTTTCGCCATCCCAATATGAACCATGATACGAGTACCAAAAGGAGGAAAATTCCAAATACAAGTGGCAATTTCGAAGAGTTGCCGCCTATTATGGAGAACGTCCAATCAGAATGGCTTCTCTCCAAATTTTCAGCACTTTGCAGGATAAAGGCTCCTAATGCCCAGTCGAGCGGGATATCGTGAACTTGGTTAGCATATCCAATTCTGCTCAAAATCATTCGCATGATAAAATGAGTAATAAGAG